CCTCCCGTCCCAAGATCCCTCCTCGCCAGTTTCACTCAGTCGCTGCAAGCATTCTCTATCGCCGCGCGGAGCGCCCTCTTTCAAGGACGAGCGACCTCTGGGGTCATGAATGCAGGTGGGAGCTCCGTTTTGAAGGACACCGCCCGCCATCCTTCGAGCGAGGAGTGCGACAAGGCGGGGCTTCGAAACACAAGGATGTACCCAGCGACAGCCCCGCTTTGAGAAGGGGCCGACCTGCATCTGTCCAGCTGTTGAATGTTCAGCTTCCAGCCCAAAACAAAGGAGGTCTGAGGCGAGAGCCCCATTTTGGAAAGCAGCGCCTTCCATCCATGTAAGTGTTGCGCAAGTGTATCTTGTAGCGGTGCGACCTTTGAGGCAGTTTCAGGCGCGAGCTGCAGTTTGAAAACGTACCAGCCTCCATCCGTAGTCGCTTAAAGCGACCATGCGCTGCGCTAAGGCGAGAGGCAGACTTTGAAAACGATCAGGCCTCCAACCGAGTAGTTGTTGAAAGCTTTCACCTTCACGACAAATGTACGCGGCGCTTCGGCGAGAACCACATGTTGAAAATGGCCAGACCTCCATTCGCACAGCTGCTCAAAATTCATGACGCTTCGCGTATTCCCACCCCCGCAGGCCTCACCAGCCCCGGGACCGCCTGCTTTGCTGTCCCTCGGCGACAGCCACTCTTTCTCGGTGACAAGGGGACGGCCGCAGATGCACCCCCCCAGCATACCTTCCTTTGCTGTCCGCTTGACAGCTTCCCGCTTTCGGTAGCAGGGGCCAGTCGTCTGAATAGTCGCCCCCCTGCACGCCGCTCAGCCGGTACCTTGGCAGTTTGCAGCTCCAGCTATGTTGCGTAAGGCTGCTGCGCATGAACCCCCCCCATGTGGCGCGTCCGACGCTGGCACACTCCAGCTCGGACCGCATCGGCGTGGTCCTGCCACCCCTCATCTTTGTAAGTCTCTTCTGCGGCGGTTAGCTGCACCCCGCACATGTGTAGATGTTCTCGGCGTGCTATCAAGTTACCTGTATCTTGCGGCGGTTAGCTGCACCCCACTTCTCCACGGCCAGGTGCACTCTGAGGGTTGCACCCTAACCGGACAACCAGGTGACAAGGGACGCCTCGGCGCTGCTGCAGGCTGGCCGCGGTGAGGGACGGCGCCGAACGCGTGGCCTGGTGGGTGTCTCCCACTGTGCCTCCGGGGTTCGCCCGCGGCGGCTGCAGTAGCCAGAGCGGGTGACCCATCGGACGGGCTGCTCGGGGCTCTCCGCCCCCACGGGCCGACCCTCTGCGTCGTCTGCGGCTGGCACCGGTGGGCCTCTTCGCAGCAGGACGACACTGTGGTGCTCGGACAGTCGCTGGTGTTCACCGACATTGAGGGCTGCTGTGCCTGAATGCCTCGCCTTGAGTGTTGCTGCCTGGTACAGCCCGCGTTTTACGCATCGTCGCACCATCCCCGGGCCTTCCCCGCAGGCGCCGGACTCGATGCGATGGATGCCGCCAGCCCCCCCAATTCTGCGGTGGAGTTCGAGGGCTGCGCGCTGAGTGGTTCAGCCTTCCGCGCCTTCGGCCCCTTGTTTGCCACCGCCAGCAGCCTGTTACCCGGGCTCGTGCATCGTTGCTCGCCGGGTCGGCTGCTCGGAGCTTGGCGCCGCAAGGGCGACTCACTCCGTTGCACTCGCACTCGTGGCCGTTTGTACACTTCGGTTTACTGGGCGGCGCCTAGGTGCGTCTGCTGGTGAATGCTGAGCATTTTGTTCACTGCGTGTGCAACTGCACGCTCTGTGTGCAATTAGCTTTGTGCCGCCCGCCCCGGACATGCCTGTTGCCGCCAGACCGTCGTCGCGCGGCCGCCGACCAAAAAAACATATTCCCACCCTTTCGGACGCTTCCTGCGCTTTCGCTCGAGGCCGCGACAAAAAAAAATATCCCCACCCGTCCTGGCAGCCACAGCCATGCTTGCATGGACGCTGTGTGAGCGCTTTGCCCCTGGCCCTGGCATCCACATTCAGTGCAGCTTGCAGCTCACTTGAGGCGCCGCTTAGGCAGCTTAGGCAGTTTAGGTGCGCGGCTCTAGTTTGCTCCTGTTGTTGCAATTCGTAGGCCCGCGTCCCAGACTTACGACTCGCCGCTTGCGCTCTCGCTTGCGGCCGCGACCAAAAAAGTATCCCCACCCTTTCCGCGCCAGTTTGGCTGCGCTTACTTGCTGGTCGCCACCGGGATTTCCAACGCCACCGGGTTTGGGAGTATCGGTTCAGTCGCGGCCCGACTAGTGTTCGGACGGTTTTCGGCCCGCCTCGCGAGCCTGTTGACCAAAAAGTATCCCCACCCTTGACTTCCACTCGTCATGGTCATCGTGCCACTCTGCTTACATTACGTCCTGTTGGATGCTGAGTCCGCGACTGTGCTGAGCGTTGCTCTGTTATGGTTTTCCATGTTGCTTCGGCGCGGCCCGCCCTATCTTTGCCCGGCTTTCGACCCGCTTTGCGAGCCCGCGTACCAAAAAAACGTATCCTCACCAGCCCATCCAGAAACGGTGGATGGCCAGGCGAGTTGCCTTGATCAGGGAAGTGTAGAAGCATGCAGTGCGACAACTACCTTGGAAGCGTTTCGGGGGCGCCAAGACGGCGGTGAACATTTGCTGAATTGTTCAACACAGGCTCCCATGCTTCACTGGCGTTTTTGAGGCTTTCTGGGGGCATTCTTGGATATTATTAGAGTTATCTTGGGACCCTCTCGGGAGGAGGAGGAGGAGGAGGAGGAGGAGGAGGAGGAGGAGGAGGAGGGAGGACGCAGGAAGGACTGGAGGAAGGAACGGACGAGGACAAGGAGGAGGATGAGGCAACCTTTCAGATATGTTCGTTTGAGAGGTTCTTGAAAAACTCTTGGGGCCGCATTGGTGCCTTCGTGGGGTCGCCGTGGGGCCTTTTGGAGAACGCTCGCCAGGTCATCCAGAAACGATCGCATGGCGAGTTGCCTTGATCAGGGAAGTGAAGGTGCATGCAATTGAACGACCGCTTTGGAAGAGTTCTGGAGGCGCAGAAACAGCGGGAACAGTTGTTGAATCGTTTAACACATGTTCCCATGCCACACCGGCTTCATTGGGGTCTCCTGGAGTTTCCTGGAGTTTTTGTTGGACCTTCTCGGGGCGGGGAGGCTATGTATAGCAACGGGAGGAGGAAGGAGGAAAAGAGACCGGGATGAGAAAACAAAATCAGAAAAATAAAGAAGAGGAAGAACCAGTAGATTGATCGGGTAGGAAGAAGGAGACGGCGATGAAGGCGACGACGACCATGACGAGTCAACGCAGAGTTTTCGATCCGCGAGCCTCCTGGAAACCTATTGAAAGCACCCGCCCCGGCAAAAACTTTGCGAAGACCCTTACAACGCCCCTGCAAAGACCCTGCAAAGACCCAGCGATGGCATTGCAAAGACCTTGTAAAACTCTGCAATACCTTGCAATCCGAGCCGTCTTGAGGCCTCGTCAGGACATTGGAAGCGAACAGGCCCGAACGCAAAAACATGGATTGTCCTTTGGTTCAATGGTTTTGGCCTGTTTGGGCACCCTTGGGGCTCTCCTGGGGTGGGGCTCTTTGGGGGGGTCTGGGAGGCCTCTTGGGACCGATCTTGGGCCCCATGCATCAAAAAGGGAGAACGGGGGGGGAGGTCGCGGATTCGCCCCCTCCCCCCCCATTCCACTCTCGGAAACCAAAAATGGCGTTTTGGGGCCCTCTTGGGGCGCTCTTGGGCGCTCTTTTGGAAGTCTTGGGGCTCTTTTGGACCGCCTTGGGGTCATCTTTGCTTGAAAAGCCCGTCGGAAGCGAAGAAGCGAGAACGCAACACATCTTGGTTTGCCCTCGGTTGTTGAAGGATTGTGGCTTTTCCTTGGAGGGCTCAGAGGACCCTTGGAACCGTATTTGGGCTGTCTTGGGTCTTCTTGGAGGTATGTCGGAGGCTATCTTGAGCCACCTTGAACTATCTTGCGCCATCTTGGAGGCTATCTTGGGGTTTCTGAGGCCTTCCTGGAGCCATCTTGGGCGCTCTAACTACCCGCGCCCCCCCCTCCCAGGCCCAGGGGAGGGGGTAGGGGGAGTGGTCAAGTTACCCCCTCCCCGCCCGCAAGCCGTCTCGCTCACTCCCACCCGCCCTCCCAACACATACGTAGCACCCGAGTCTGGCCCGAGCCTCAGCATATTCAGCAGTCGTCTTGGGATGGGGAGCTACTGGGGGCCAATCCGCCGCCGCCGCCGCTGCCTCCGCCGCCGCCGCCGCCGCCGCCGCCGCTGCCCGCCGCCGCCGCCGCCGCCGCCCGCCGCCGCCGCCGCCGCCGCCGCCGCCGCCGCCGCCGCCTGCCGCGCCACCGCCGCCGCCGCCCGCCGCCGCAGCCGCCGCCTCGCCGCCGCCGCCGCCGCCGCGCCGCCGCCGCCGCGCCCGCCGCCGCCCGCAGCCGCCGCAGCCGCCGCCGCCGCCGCCGCAGCCGCCGCAGCCGCCGCCGCCGCCAAGTGTACTCTGTATCGTTTTTTGACAGGGATGGTGGGGGGGGCCGCATCGGGTTGGCTGCGCATGTTCCGAGGCAGACTGTGTTTTGTATTGTTTTTTTTTACAAGGGATGGTGGGGGGGGGGGTCGGCATGGACTCGGGTTGGCCCCCAGTCGCCTGGGGGAGGGGGTGTTTATTAATAGGGAACAGTGATTCACCCTTCCCCCGAGCAGGGGAAAAAGGGAGCTTTGGCAGAGAGAAGGCGAAATTCGTCAAACCACCTACGCCCAGAGGGCTGGTGGGATTCTCGAGCTTCTGGGCGATCGCTTGTGAGGACGTCCCAAGCGACATGCCTGGCCCGGCCTACGGACACTTGTGGTGGTGCGACGGGGAGGAGCTACAGTCGGCCCAGATTGGTAGGTCGACCCTGCCAGCTCAATGGTACCTTTGTGTCCTGTGCCTCGCGACACGTGCCTTCTTACACTCCTATGGCGATGTGGCCCTCGGAGGGGTCTTGTGTCCTCTCGCGTGTCTTGTCCAATCGAGTCCGACTTTAGTAATGCGGAAAAGGGATGGAGGAGGCAGAGGAAGGAGCACGACCGGAGAGAATGCAGGATGCGTCAGCGATGCTGCATCGCACCAGCGCGCCCCCCCCTTGACTGACTAGCGCCCAGTTGGCCTGCTTTTCAGGCGACCTCCCTCCTCCTCCTCCTCCTCCTCCTCCTCCTCCTCCCCCTCCTCCTCCACCTCCTCCTTCTCCTCCTCCTCCTCCTCCTCCTCCTCCTCCAAGGGATCCCCGAGCATTTTCTTTGGGCGGAGGGCAAAGGGTGAACTCTGAAATGCCGCCTCGATTGTTTTCCGAGGCTCGAATCTGCAAGAGGTGGATCACAAGGCGGACTGATTTTCGAGGTGCAAAGTCCCACATGGATTTCACCCTGAGCCCTGCACCCGAAGAACATGCTCAGGATCCACCCCCCATCTTTAGGGGGCCACATGCGAACCCTACCCCTACCCCCCACGATCTCTGAGGGGGAGGGTGGGGTTCCCTTCATCCGGGGGCTCCCGAGCGAAGTGAACCCCACCCTCCCCCTCAGAAATCGTGGGGGGTAGGGGGTAGGGTTCGCATGTGGCCCCCGAATCTTGTCAGCGTGGAGCATCGGCGGGAGGCAGGATTGGTGCAGTGCGGGGAGGCGTCCCGCGATGGCCCCGCTCGGGATCGGGTCTGCCTGCCGTCCGTGGAGAGGCCGCGCACTTCCTGCGGAGCTCGGTCCGAGAACCTGCGGAGGTCCTTAGCGAGGGCCCCCCTTTGAGCAGGAGGGAATGAAACACACAGACACAATTAATCGTCGATTCCCTAGAAAATATGAGGAAATATGGGAAGTGGGGGGGAAGACAGAAACCCAGAACATATGGGGAAGTATGGGGAATCTTTTTATTTGTGTGTATTTGTTTGTGTGTCATGGGGCCCCTTCATTTGAACTGGCGCCGCCCTTCATCCGTGTGACTGTTGTACAGAGTTCGAATGTGTGGATCGTAGATGACGAGGGGCTCTCCAGCGAGAGGCGCAGCCTGATAGCGAGTTGGACTGCAACCTTGAATATGCTGGAAACTGCTCGATCAAAGATTCGTGGCGCCAGAGCGACAGCCGCAATTTGAAAAAGAGCCGGCATCTATCCTTTCTGTAGAAATATGTTACAGCGAGTTTGCGCGGCGCTAATGCGACAGCCACATGTTGAAAGCGACCAGCCCTCCATCCCTGCAATTGTTGCTCTTTTCTAGCTTCAGGCTAGTAAAGCACCTTAAACGGAAGTTCTCGTGCTAAACGCCCAGCCAGGCCTTCGGACACGGCTTGCTGTGCGACAGGCGGGAGTCATATGTCAGAGGGATGCATGAGGACGACGACGAGGAGTAAAGAGACGAAGAGAACAGGGACGAAGAGGAGAAGGAGAAGGAGGAGGAGAGGGAGAAGAAGAAAGAGAAAAAGGGAAATGCGGGCCATCGTAGGGCCGTGGCCACTCGTGCCCGGGTGCAGGAGGGAAGGGTGGATGGGAAGGGGCAAGGTTCAGAGGAGCGAGAGGTCATGATACTGATACGCTCCAAGATTCCCCAGAGTCCCCCGATTTCCCGAGCGCTCCACGCGGGCTGCAGAAGCGAGGGTCGCGAGATCACCCCCCTGGACTTCCTGGAACGCGTCCTGCGCCGACCGCATCGTGGCAGCATCCTCGCCCAGAAGAGCGGCAGTGGGCAGTGCCAGGAGCGCGGGAGGCTCCCCTCCGCCCTCTGCCCGGCCCGCCGGCGCAGACTCTTCCCTGGGACGCCAGCCCCCCCAGGCCCCAGACATGCGATGTCTGGATCTCCTCCCTACCCAGACCCCCTCGCGCTGTGAGAAAAGCCGCGGCGGGAGGTTTCTCACTATGTTCGCCCATGGAGGCACTTGCCGGGCCTCGTGACCGGCAGAAAACGATTCGGGGTGAAGAGCCGGCCCCGGGGAAAGGGTCCAGACCGCTTGGGGTCTGGGGGTAGACGTCGTGAAACAGTCACGACGTCGGGGGTCTGGGCACACGGTCCCCGGGAGCCCCGACTCCTTCCCCGGGACCGGCTTCTCATCCCGCGTCGCTTTCTGATGGTCCTGGGGCCTGGCGAGGGCCCCCCGGAGGCCGAAGACGGCCAACAGAAGCCTTCCGTCGTATACGTAGGGGTCCACATGCGAACCCCCCGACCCCTACCCCCCACGATTTCTGAGGGGGAGGGTGGGGTTCACTTCGTTAGGGAGCTCCCGAGCGAAGTGAACCCCACCCTCCCCTCAGAAATCGTGGGAGGTGGGGGTAGGGTTCGCATGTGGCCCCCTAAAGGGTCCAGCGTGCCTCAGACGGAGGTGCACCTTGGCAGCTGCTGGGCTGCGCCCTGGGTGCGCTGGGACCCGGCGCGCTCGCCCAGGCGCCCAGCCCACCAGCAGGTTCTTGTCTCTGCCCATCGCTCCTGCGAGGGCCGGCCAGCAGGATGTTTGCTTCACGACGCCAGCATGTCAGTGACGAACGAGCAACACACACACACACACACACACACACACACACACACGCACGCACGCACGCACGCACGCACGCACGCACGCACACACGCACACACACACACACACACACACAGGGGGTCGGAGGGAGGAGGACTGGCTATGGGTATTCTGGGTCTGGGTGCGTGTTGTGAGACCCTGGGGGAGGCTCCCGTTCCAGCGGGGACCCCCATCCGGCAGCACGCACCCCTGTTGGTGTGGGTGTGCTCCGTTCCTTCGTCATGTCTGCCCTCCTCCACCCCGGCACTTCGGCACTTCTGCGCCCGACCCGCCGAGAGGAGCCTTTTTTGCCTTGCAGAGCGCGGGGGCCGCTGCGCGGGACGTGCGCGCCCGTGCACGAGCGCCGCTCTCGCGCCTCTGCTCATCGCTCCTCCGCTCCTGCGAGGGCAGCCTGCAGGGTGCTGTGAAGGCCTCACGGCCGGTGCCCCGCCGACCCTGGTGTTTGCGAGAAGGACAGGGGGAGTAAGCAGGCGGACGAGGGGGGTGGGGGGCCTCTGGGTGGTCTCTCGGGAGCCTCTCGGTGGCCTCCTGGAGGCCTCCCGAGGGCCTCCTGGGTGGGCAGCCTGCAGGATCTCCTCCACGACGCGAGCACGTCTGGGCCCTCCCAGCCCCCCCGCCCGGGAGGAGCCGACCCGCACACGCCCCGACCCGAAATCCGAGAGGGTCTCCGGGGCCCTGTCTGCGGGACGGGAAAATGACCACAGCCACTGCTTCTTGTTTGCGCCGCCTTCCAGCCGGCCGAACAAGAAGCAGTGGTTGTGGTCCTTCCCCTGGTGCCAGGCTCAACGAAAATGCCCACAACCACTGCTTTCTTTCTGCGGACTGGAAGGCGGCGACAAAAGAAAAGCAGTGGCTGTGGTCGTTCTCACGCCCCGTTCTGTCGGGCTCGGCCTTGGTGCGGTCTGGGGAGTCCGTGGTGGCCCTCTCCTGCGGGGCGGGCTCCCGCCGGGTGCCCCCGTGGGCCCCCATTGGCTTCCGGCCCCCCGCGCTCCGGCGCGCCCCGCCCTCCCGGGGAGGAGCCGCCCGCCCGGCGCCGCGCGCGGGCCGCCGAGCGGGGTACGGCGCGATGGCCGCCACCGCGGAGCTGGAGCACTTCTGCGGGCGCCCGGGGGCCTCGCGGCCGCCGCTCCTCCTCGGCGGGCGCGGAGGAGGAGGAGGAGGAGGAGGGGGAGGAGGAGGAGGAGGAGGAGGAGGAGGAGGAGGAGAAGTGCCCTGAGATCTGGGCGTTGCATGCTTCCCCCCTGGGCGTGTTTGCCTGGTGTCGAGCCCTGTGAGGCCCTCACATATGGATCCAGCCCGAAACGTGCAGCAGAGAGGTGGGGTCAAATTAGGGCTCTGGGCGTGATTTTATGCTGATCATTGTCGCACCGTCGGGTCCCAGGGACGGAGGAGCCCCGCCGCCCTCTCGGAAGCCCACCCCCCCTATCGCGCTGCCCCCTTCTGGGCGCCGCCAGCAGGGCCAGGAGGAGCTCGGGGATCAAGACCCCGAGAAAACGATTCCGAGGCAGAGGCAGGAGGAAAGCACGGACGAATCGAAGGCTCCAGTGAGCCGTCTCCTCCCTCCATCCCCCGCCGTCCCAAAGAAGCCGCCCTAGACCCTAGACAGCGACCACACTCACTCACACGCACACGCACCAAGAGGATGAGGAGGTTGAGGAGGAGGAGGAGGATGAGGACGACGACGAGGAGGAGGACGAGGAGGAGGAGGAGGAGGAGGAGGAGGAGGAGGAGGACGAGGAGGAGGAGACGCCCCCCTGCCTCCCGAGAACGAGGGGGAGGAGGCCCCCCGCCGCTGCCGCCTGCGGAAGATGGGTGCGGTGCGAGCTTCACTCGCGGCGGCGCGCCGAGGGGGAAGTTTGGGAGTTTCGGGTACGAGGGGGGCTCGAGGCGTTCGAGCGGCTTCGTCGCCTCTCGGCGGCTTTTTCCAGCGTCGGGGTGCGCTCCGGCAGCTGCGCCCCGCCGATGGCATCTCCCGGGGTGCCCAGATCGCCGCCAGAGACCCGAGCTGGGACCCGAGAGCCAGGCTCGGCGGCGCGTCGAGTGGGGGAAGTGAGACGGAGAGTGCCTTCTCAGAAGGCGTTGAGGCTTCTCAGAAGCGCTCCAGCCTTCGTCAGCCCTCCGAGAGGTGTGCTGCTTTCGGTGCGCTTTCGGGGAGGGCTCAAGAAGCCTTCTCAGAAGGCCGGGGGACTTCTGGGCCCTCTGAGGAGGCCCGCCCCTTCTCGCGTCCCCCCGGGCTCGCCGCCGAGATGGGGGGTAACCTAAATACCTAAATTGGGGGTTAAGACAAGGGCCCTGAGGGCCCCTTGAGGGCTTTGTTTCCTTCCCCCCCTGTAGGGCCGCCCGCCCGACCCGACCCGCCCAGTACAGTGGAGGCCGACTAGTACCTGCCAAATTCAGGGTACCCTCGTGTCGTGTGTTTCGCGGCCCAAGCCTTCTGCATTCCTGTGGCGATGTGGACCTCGGAGGGGTCTTGTGTTCTCTCGCGTGCCCTCTCCGATCAGCCCCGACTGTAGTCGGGGAACAAGTTATGGCATAAGCCTGGAACAACTTTCTGAGGCCCGCGCAGATGTCTTGGATCGGCGCTGGCGGCGCCTCCGGCGCCGATCCAAGAAATCCGCGCGGCCCTCCGACAGTTCTTCTGCATGCCATCAGTTGTTCCCCGGACTCGGGCCCGCCCGCCCGCCCCGCCCCGACCCGCCCGCCCGATCTGCCGGCCGAGGACGGCGCCGACGGCGGCGGAGACGCCGACGCCGACGCCGACGGCGGCGGCCACGGCGGCGACGACGAAGAGCCATCGGCCGCTCGGCAGGTACGGCGGGGCGCACCTGAACACGGTGCGGTACCATCCCCTGCAGGCGGAGACGCTCATCTACACGGCCGCGAGCGCGGTCATCATCGAGGACGTGAACGACCCCCACAAGCAGGAGTCCAGCGAAGAGGGAGGGGGGAGGTCATGGAGCAGGAAAAGGTCGCGCGGGAGGGGCAGGAGGGCGTCGCAGGATGGCGGGGGAGGATGCAGACGGAGATGCAGACGGAGACGCAGAAAGGGAGGAGGAGGAGGAGGAGGAGGAGGAGGAGGAGGAGGAGGAGGAGGGGGAGGAGGGGAGGGGAAACATATGCGATGGAGCAGCAGCAGCAGCGGCAGGTGGAGGAGCAGGAGAAGGAGGACGTGCAGGAGGAGGGGGAGAGAAGGTAGGACGAGGACGAGGGGAGGAGGACAACGACGAGGAGGATGACGCAGGGAGCCCCGAAGGAGTTCCTCCGCGGCCAGCATGACAACGAGGTGTCCGCCCTGGACGTGTCCGCCAACGGCAAGCTCCTGGCCAGCGGGCAGCTGGGCTCCCCGAGCCGGACGGCAGGGCCCCCCTGCTGAAGGAGTAGAAGGAGGAGGAGGAGGAGGCAGAAAGAGGAGGAGGAGGAGGAGGAGGAGGAGGAGGAGGAGGAGGAGGAGGAGGAGGAGGAGGAGGAGGAGGAGGAGGAGGAGGAGGAGGGGGAGGGGGAGGGGAAGGGGAGGAGGAGGAGGAGGAGGAGGAGGAGGGGAGGAGGAGGAGGGAGGAGGGGGGAGGAGGAGGAGGAGGAGGAGGAGGAGGGGATGAGGAGGAGGAGGCGGAGGAGGAGGGGGATCGGAGGTTGACAGACCTCCTACCCTGACACGTCGATTAGCGAATTGGCCGTTTTCTGTGCGCGAGACGGCGTCGCGGCCGTCATTTTTGCGGGTCCAGGTCCGTCGGTTTCGGTCCCAGGCCGTTCTTGCGAAGGGGAGGTTTACTAAAGGGAGGTTTGCCTACCGCCGAGAGGAGGAGGAGGAGGAGGAGGAGGAGGAGGAGGAGGAGGAGGAGGAAAAGGAAAAGGAGGAGGAGGAGGAGTAGGAGGAGGAGGAGGAGGGGGAGGAGGAGGAGGAGGATAAGGAGGATGACCACAGTAAACCCACGATGCATCAGCGATGCTGCAATACACATCAATACACCCTCCGTCCCAAGTCCCTCCTCATACGTCCCTACAAGTTTTCACAACAAGAAGCGCCCTCTTGAAAGCCCAGCACAGTCAGGCCTTCCATTTCGGCGAGGGCACCGCTTTCAAGAAGCAACTCCCTTGCGTCCTTCTGGCGCCTGGTCTGGGATGCGAAAACCTGTGATCACGCAGTGGAGCGAGGTGTCCGGTGGGACCCCCAGATCGAGTAAGAACCGCCGCCCATCCTACGACGAGTGCGACGGATGGCCAGCTGAAGGATATGAGAACTACCACTACAAGCACCTGGAGACTGTGCGCTACAAGCTCAAGAATAAGCACTGGGCGTACCAGGCTTACGCTGTGCTAACTGTTGCGCAGGCATGCGCTTGCGGCCCTTGGCGTCGAGGAAGCCTCGGGCGAGAGCTCCATCTTGAAGGAGCGCCGCCCTGGACCGGTGCAAGTGCTGCATCGGCTGGCGCGTCGGCTTTTTTGCTGCATGTCTCGAACGATGGCCGATGACTCTGCTTTGAGAAGGGCAGCCCTCCCTTCTCAAAGTTGCGCGACAAGCGCATGCGCGCGGCGCTCAGACGAGACCCACAGCTTGACAGCGATTTGCGCTCATCTCTGTCAGCGCTGGAAGTGGGACGAATCCGCGCGGCGCCGAAGCGAGAGCCCCATCTCGAAAAGAAACCGCCTCCATCCTTGCAGCTCCATAAGAAGTTATAAGACGGATGCGCGCGGCTCGAAGGCGAGCGCCACAGTTTAGAAGCCACCTGCGCTCCATCCTTGAATCCGCTGCAAGCGTTTAGGTCGAGCATGCGCGGCGCCGCGGCGCGAACCACGTTTTGAAGTGGAGCCGCCCCCCATCCTCGAACGTGTTGCACATGTCAAGACGGACGTGCGCGGCGCGAAGGCGAGATCCGCAGGTTGAGCACCATCTGCCCCACAGCAGTGACAGTGCGGCAACATGTGCAGACGAATGTGCGCGGCGCTCAGGCGAGAACCAAAGTGTGAACACCACTCGCGCTCCATCCTTGAAGCTGCCGCAAATGCACGCGGCGCTAAGGTGAGAGCAACGCCCGGCCCGCGCTGCCGACACGTCTGGGGGTGCGGCAGGGAGGAGTTATTTATGAGGAAAAGGGATGGAAGGGGGAAAAGGAGGAGGAGGAGGAGGAGGAGGAGGAGCAGGAAGAGGAGGAGGCCGCGGTCCACCGCTTGCAGCGCGCAGCGACGCCAGTGCAGTCCGCGTTGGCTGGCCCGCTGTTGCGACATGCGGTTCGGAGACTCACGGAGCGCCCGGGCTGCGGGCGGGCCACCAGCCGTGCGCGCCCAGCGGGCCACGACCCCGCTGCAGGTAGCCGGGCGGAACTGGCAGCCTGAGGCAGGGCGAGGACGCCGCGGCCGCTCTCCTCGGGTCGCGGGGCGTTCGAGGGCCGGGCGCGGGCTCCAGGCGACACGTCGCGATCGCGACGTGGTGCCTGATCACCTCCGAGGAGGGCAATGAACTTAGAGACCTGAGAGGAGGAGGAGGAGGAGGAGGGAGGAGGAGGAGGTAGGAGGAGGAGGAGGAGGAGGAGGAGGAGGAGGAGGAGAGGGGAGAGGAGGGGAGGGGTGCAGGGGGAGGGGGGAGGGGTGAGGGGAGGAGGGGGAGGAGGAGGAGGGAGGAGGAGGAGGAGGAGGAGGAGGAGGAGGAGGAGGAGGAGGAGGAGGAGGAGGAGGAGAGTGAGGAGGAGGCAGGTGGGAGAGGAGGAGGATGCGGAGGAGGAGGAGGCGGAGGAGGAGGAGGAGGCGGAGGAGAGGAGGAGGGGAGTGAAGGGGACGACGGGCGATCTGCGCGCCTGCAGCGGGGCGCTGCTCTCTCGGAACAGGTCCATGTCTGCGCGCTTTGCCGTGCATGCTTTGGGCTCGGGATGGGGGGGGGCGGTGGCAGCCGCGCGGAGTGCTGCGAGCGGGGCCCGACCTGTTCTCGGCGTCGCAGCTACTGCTGGGACGAGCTGGCTGCCCCGTGCCGCGATGCGTGGGCCCCGAAACGCTGAAAGAGGAGGAGGAGGAGGAGGAGGAGGAGGAGGAGGAGGAGGAGGAGGAGGAGG